ATGAGTTGGCATGCATACGAAATTTACTAAGTGGGATAAGCTAATTATACTTTTTGTTGTGGATAAACAAATGCTTGTTGATAGCCTTTTTCTATCAAGAAACCAAGGAGCTAATTATTAATAACAATCATTGCACACTGAGTCTTAGCGTTTCTGATGAAACAGTTTGGATTGTATAATAACGCCAAGCCCAGTTGTAGTCGTTTGAGTGCAGTAATGAAATCTGAATCTAAAATAAAAACAAGATTATTTTTGTCATGCTGACTCCACTGCTTGAAAAATTTGTTTACTGGCCCCCAAAATTTTTAATGATTAATGCAAGAAATAGAGAAACTAGTTTTAGCCCCCTACGACAAATACATATTTGAAAATTTTAACCACAAAGTAAATTATTTAAGTTACTGATTGCTGTAAGCTGACTTACCTGAACTAATATCAGCAAATTTAAGGCCTAAGGGTACTAGACTAACTGTAGACTCAGATTACAGCTAGCAGAATTATATCAGTGAAATTATTCTTGCACATAATGGCGAATCTAAGTACAGAGTGAAGTCTTTTACTAAGGATGTTTTTACCTAAGATGAGCCATATATGTTTATTAGGACATTATGTGAAGAGACCAGACTTCAAAATCTAATTTTTATAAATATGCTCAATGTTCTCATTGGATAAAAGTGGTTATTAACTAATTTTCCAGAACAGCTGTACAGAATTTCTGCATGGCAGCCAGCTAAATGGCACAAAATAACATGTTTAAACTGGAATAGCTTATAATTTTATTTAAATAAAATTGCCGCTATAAAAAGTGCTTCCCGAAGCTAAGGAAAATATACAAATATTTTAATTAAGGCAAATTCGTTTTATAAAATCAGCCTTTGAGTTGTGATTGCTTTGTAAACAAAGGATGGGTCCAAAGAGAGCGCCTTAAACTCAAGCCTGACTTTCAGGCCCCTGTCACCCTATAAACCCGCCCTGAACAATTCTATTTTCTATTTGGAAAGAGAAACCAGCTGTGGGTTGGGTTTACTAGGTGACGTGTGATTGACTGACTCACCTGCTGGAGCAGCAGCGCGCACTCTCACCTTTTGTTTATGAGGTCTTGTTTCTAAACACGCGGGAGCCTCGGAAAGCCAGCGAGGCTCAACCGTCTGCAGCCTCTGCGCTGCGCCCTCCGCCCCACCCCGCCCCCGCCCTCTCCCCATATATGGGATGTTTAAATTTCCCTTTTGGACCCAGTGGCATTCTTCGTCGACATAAATAGCCCATACTGGTGAACTAATTCTCTTTTGATAGGTGGTTACTAGCAGTTAACAACCATTTATTTACTTGAGAAATTAATAATAAACTTTATAAACTAACCATCCACTTGCCCCTCCTCCCCAGTACAGGCCTGAGTTGGTTATTTTCAGCCTTTATTCTAGAGGAAGCTCTAGACGGATGGGAGGGAGGGCAAGAAAAAGTGGGGGGACGGAGAGAGAGGGAGGGAGAGAAACAGAGAGAGAGAGGCGGGCAGAGACTAGGAGAAGGTACAAGTGAAGAAGAATTAGGGAATATTGAGAATATGAGGAATCAGGTTCCTTAGTGTCCAGTGAATTAGAAAAAAATAAAACAACTCTTTTTTTCCTTGTGTTCCCCCGTTCTGTGTGACGGTTTTGTGAGAGCGTTGCTCTCGGCAGGTCGTGTCTTCCCCTGCCTCAACACCACCACCTCCCTTAATGCTATTTTAGCTTTTCCTCTTGTAAATTTCAGGGCCAGCTCGGTGGTTATTAAGGACACTTATAAGAAAGAGGGAAATAATAGAGGTGCTGACAGTGTTTTTGATGTTTCTTAAAAGGCAAAAACAAAACGCCCCCTTCTAAACAAGGGCCCACAAAGTGTACCTGCTTTTTTTTTTATTTGGGGAGGGGGGCGTTAGTTGAATGAGACTACTTTTTAATATGATTTAAATCTTTTTCAAAAAATTAAAAATATTTTACCCTATCATTTAATCAGCTGTAATTATAACACATTCAAAATGAATAATATGCCTTGACAGTATTTTTATTGTTATTGTTCATTGCATGATGTTCGACTGCTTTAGAAGCACAGGAAAGAGAAGTAAACGCGCTACAAATGGGGAATTACCCTCGTTTAGCATTAAAATTCATTTAGATAAAATTGCCACAAACATTTAAATGGGAAGATTAGTTCCCCCTCACGCCTTATTGCACTCGCTCAATGGTTCCGTTAAGAACATTTTACACGTTGGAAATTCCGTCTTCTCAGACGGCTTGCTGTTTCCTAGTTACCCACATTCAAAGCAAAGGCAGCGGCAAAGGCAGCCGCAGGAAAAAAAAAAGTTTTGGCAACTGGTCTGCAATTCATCCGCTGCCGGCCCCGGCCTTCCTCCTCCCACAGCAGTCGCCCCCCAGCCCACCTTCCCCACGCCTACCTCTTCTGCCCCTATTAACGTGATTTGCAGGGTCCTGCCTTCCAGGAAACAAGTTGCTTGGATGTAGTATTTGCATATAATATGAAAATACGAAGAAATATAAAAAAGCCAGTCTGTCCCTCCCCCGGCCTCCACTCTCCCGCTTCTGCTCTGAACTGAGGGTTTAATTTGAAAGTGCTGAGTTTCTCACATCCCCTCCCCTGAGCCCGCGAGGCACGTTTTTTGGTTTTGTTTTCTGCTAGGACATTTCCAGGAAATTCACCACTGCTTCTTACTTGTGTTAGAAACGTGTGAAAGAATTAGTTTGAAAAGCCCAGGCGACGTCTAGTTTCCCCCTCTCCTTTTCTTCTCTCTCTCCCTCCTCTCTGCCTCCCTTCTTCCCTCTACCTCCCCTCTGTCTCCCCCTCCCTTCGCAGAACCGCAGGAAAAGAAGAATGTCGGCTTCGACTGCCATCTTTTGGGGATTTGGAAAAACGACTCGGTAGGAAACGGAGGGAGGCGGAGGCGCGGGGGTGGGGGGAAACCCCCTTATTATCCTGTGTCGGAACTGGCTCCCTTAATCTGATGCTTAAATATTTGATGTGGAAAAATTACCCATAAAATTAGTTACTAACAATTTCAAATTGAAATCACTTATCGAATTATAAACGCATTAAAGCTGTATGGATGGTATTAGGAGTTCCTCGGGAGGCAGCGGGTGTCTCCTTGCAGTGCGCCCGGCCGGCGAGTTTAGCTCCGGGGAGAAGCACCCCCAGCGGAGCGCCGGGACCGGGGCGGGGAGGGCGGCGTGGCGCTCCGGATACCAGGGCCTCGGCCGGGGGTACCTAGCGGGCGGCCAGGCCCGGGCGGAGGCTTAAGCTTGCTAGGCTCGCGGGGGCGGGGAGGAAGGAGGGGAAGCAGCGGCTGTGGGAGGCTCCGACCCCCAGGCAGAAGCGCCTATCAGGAAACTTCGAAGTGAAGTCGAAATATTCCATAAAGGAAAAACACAGGCCCGACCCGCCCCCCTCGCGCCCGCGCCTCCCACGCGGCGCTCAGACTTTGCGCTCCCAGGCGGTTGCTGTGTGCAGCGTACCCCCCAGGTCTGCAGGCCCGGGGCAGGAGGGGAGATGCCGGTGGCCCGGGGCTGGGCCGATCTCTGCGCCGCGAGAGAAATTCCCGCGGGCCGAGGAGTCCTAGCCACTACGCGGCTGCTCCTACGTCCCGCCGAGCACCGGGTCCTGGCCCGGACGGGTTCCTCCTGCGAACAATCCGCTCAGAGCCCTGAGCACCTTGGAGATGGCGGCGGTGGGGGCGTAGGAGTAGCTCCCGCACCTCCAGTAAGCCTCCTACCTCTTCCCCACCCCGACCTGAAAGTCAAGTTTAAGGGTGCTGCTAATTTCGCCTCTGGAGACAAGGCCACTCCAGGTGTGCATATAAGATTGCGGACGGGCACCTCCTGAGGGGCTGTAAGGACTCCCTTCCCTTGGAGCCTCTCGGAGGTGCTTTTTAGGGGGAAGTAGGAGCTTTTTGATGGACTCTGTTCCCGAGTCCCACGGCGGCACTGGGAGTGCGGCTCTCAAAACTTGGGGCTGGGTAGGCACTTGTGACCTGGGCAGCGCCCTCCAGGCGGGTCTCGAGTGCAGGGGTCCGGAGCCGCAGCAGGGGTGACACGGGCAACACCCTGACGCCTTAGGCAGACGCTCCTCGGGATCACTTTAAAGCCTCTTGCAAACTTTCCCCTGTCGGATCCCAGCAGGCCCGCGGCCCACGTGAAGGCGGTAAAAACGTGACGTGATGCCAAGCTTCGGGGCAGGCGCTTGGACGCGGGGTGGAATGGCCTGGAACAGGGTGGTGGGGCATCCTGCCTGAGCATTTGCCCTTGTCTCGCTTCCCTCTCCCGTGTCACCCCGCACCCACTTGACTGTTTGGCGGCCCTGGGCAGAATCTACAAAAGGATGGGAATTACAGGGCCAGGCAAAGAGCGGTGAGGGAGGCGTCTGATGGCGGGGCGTTGGGGTTCCCTTTTTGGCCCAATCTTCCTGCCCACGCGTCTGTAACATTCTCTTCCAAGGCGGAGCTGAAAGGAAAAACAAACATGTTGAACAGTCAGTCGGCTAACATTTGATCTTTTAAGAGTCTTTGCCCCAAACACAGATATTCTGGGGTCTCGGTGGGATGATGATGGCATTTGGGGGGTTTGGTTCTGGAGGCCCGCGCCCAGGGGTCGCCCCTCCGCTCCCTGCCTTCTGCCAGCCTGACGCGTTCAGCCCACCGCGGGTAAACTCAGGCGGTGAAGCCCTGGAGAAAAGGGATTTAGTTTTAAGCCAGTCTACCATCGATCGGGTCGGCAATCCCTACCCCTGCCCACTCCGCAGACACACTCACCTCTACCCTAAAGCATTAAGTTCATTACGCGAGCAATGATCTTAATCTTCAGGCGGAAATCGAGTCCCGGGACCTCGCCGATTCAGGAAACAGGGAATAAGTCACCTGCTAACGCACATGCCTGGCGGGCTCCTCGGGGAGGACACCTTTAGTGGCTGGGCGCG